TAGGGCCAATGTTGGGTTAACGAGTTACTCCGTGTGGACGTTCACGTCAACGTCACGCGCCACAGAATCTCTTCTCCTGACCCCCCTCGCCCCTAGCAGCCGCATACCCGAGGATCCCCAACATCGGACCGTACACCGAATATTGTACTGTTGCTGTTGCTGCTGCTGCCGAGGAGGATAAAGGACAAGCCCTCTTGCTGACAGGGGAAGTGCCCTCCTGCTCAGACTCAGAACCCTCTCCTTCGGGTTCGGAGGAATTCGAATCAAACGATGGCAATGGATATAATGCATCTGATTGAAAATGAATATCTCACCCTCGATAGTGACCCTCAGAGCAAAGCAGCCTCGAGTCATAATAAAGACGGGGGCCCTCTAACAGTGACGAGGAAGCCATCACAACCAAATCCATGAGAATCAAATCCAAATCAGGGTCGAGGGCGCAGTAGTAGTAGGGGCGGGTGGACGGACACCACACGGTCGAACAATTGGACTCCCAGCCTTTGGACCAAATCGATCCTCCCTCCCTGGAACCACAATACCATGCAAGCGGATGAGAAAAAACAGTAATACGTCATACAACTCCACTTCCGATATCCCTACAGAGCCTACAACACTCACCTGGCCCATTACCACGACCAAAGCTGATGGTCCCATTGACCATTGTATGGGGACCAACAGCTAGCGAGGACCCTTCCTTCGACTAGTATAACACAACATGCTTGTGCCATCTTATTGGATCTCGTACATCGCGGGAAGTAATAATCAGGAACACCGACTACACCCTAGGCCGACAGTGGCTATAATGACGATAACAGCAGCAGGCATGAGCAACAGAAGCACAGTATCACTACAGAGACAAGCAATGATAATAAGAGTGAGAAGAGGAAGTAGTAGGACTCAGGCAAGCGAGAGAATAGTGACAACGCTTCTTCTGCTGTTTGCTACCGACGATACTATCATCAGAGTCAACAACAGCAGCACATGGTGCCTACATAGGTTACCGCTCTGATAGGGTCAGCCACCTCTAATAGATAGGTTGAATCACACTGAGCAGAAACAAGGGCACAACTGATGACGACCACAGAATGGCGGTCACGACGAGTATGACAAGCGAGGTTATGATAATACTATGCTTATTTCTACTGCTAGACTAGACAAGAATACAACTCATTACGTTGAGCCATAAAGCGAAGTACATTCGTCAGTAGCTTGTATAGACTACATGCCACAGGGAAGGTTAAGCCACTTTATGACTAATAACAATCAAGCAAGCTGTCGGTGACACCAGTGGTGACACGACGTTATGGTATAACTCGTCTAAGAAGGATGATGTCGCCTTATATGGTGTGTTTGTAGAGAGCCATCCCATGGGACACGGATGGCACCGAGAATAGTAACAACAAGGATATTAGCAACAGCAGGTGGCGGCGATAATGATGGAACGGCCTTGTGTGGAGCAATGGAGAACCGATACAAGCAAGCGAAGAATGACCATAGACCTCATGGGCCCAATACTGATGATGATGATAGTCCTAGTAGACAATACGTTGATGATGATGATGACCTCCTTGACGGTAAGTGAACTGATCATTCGGCATCCATAGCTCTAACACTATTGCTTATGATGATGTTGTAAGACTCGGCGAACTCGACGGAAGAGAGAGATTGACGTTGACTGGACAGATGAAGGAATAAGTGTGAAGCTCCACAAAGGGAGATCATAGACAGGGCTCATTAGAGATATGTACCCAATACTAAATAGTGAGCTATGCCGATATAAAGGGACGTGACTATGGACGATAGGACGACCATCAGTTAGCATCAGCAACATGCTGTTGTTGAAGGGCTCTAGGAGTAGCGAGCTGGGCAACACTGACAGACGAGGTCCGTTGTCTTTGCTCGCGTTCCTCGACTTCCTTCATGTGCTGGAAATTCTCATCCATCACTTCAACTCTGTCATGGAGACCAACCAAGAGGCCGTCCAACGTGTTCCACAACGGACTCACGACGAAGCTTATGAAGCCCACGTGCAACTTAGCTAGCTCCAAAGTATCATCAGGACGATGAGCCATAAAGGGCGCAAAGGGGAGGCCCTCCATCCTTTCAGCCTCTGCTTGATGATAATACTCAGACACCACACGATAGCTCCACTCATAGTACTCATCATAGGGCATAAGAGGGTTCGATATGTCAGCAGCATGCACAATACCCTGGAGCAGTGTGGGCCTAGTTTCAGCCAAGGCCCCGTCTATCCACTCTCCTGGTGCTCGGACACGAGTCGCCCCTGCCGTTTTGGAGCCCTCCTTGCAGTCTAAGAGCAACTCCTGCAGTTTGATAGTAATGTCAAAGTGAACTTTCATGTCGGTGGCCAGTATAACCGAGATAACAGTCTGACGAAAAACCTCATAGTCACTAGGCTCGCCAGGCTCATCTGCGGCTGGCCACGTCGAAGTAAAGTCAACAGCACCACCCAGAAGGAGCTCGAACGTCCTAGCAGCGTGCATGTTCTCCAACACAGCAGTGTCGTTGTAGCGCACAGCCAAGTGCCTCCTCCCTTTGATGAAGTAATCATTGTTGAAGCCTGGGTGGTTCACATCATGACACAGTGCTCCTATGAGAAGACTAAACTCCTCTAGAGGCGTACAGATAACGTCACTCGCCCCAGCAGGCCCCGGACGTACTGAGCATCCAGCCCTGTACATAACATAGCCCACGCAGCTCATGACCTGGTAGGCGTGGTAGAAATTATGGTAAGGGTTGTCCGAATGATAATCGTTGGCGATGAGATTAATGAACCCCCACAACCTCGATGGCTCCACCATTTTACCCTCTCCCACAAAATTCCACCTCTCGAACACACTGTAGGCGCGCCTGACCAACTCCGAATGGTCCAAACTGAAGAGCTTGGTCTCCCAACTGAGCAAGTCCGGTAGCTGCAGAGTGTCCATCTTGGGAAGCTGCTCCAATATTCTAGAAGTAAATCTAGCCTCATCGTAGGCCACAGAGTCACTAGCCCTTCTTGAGGAGGAGCTGACCGAGCCCCTCCCAGTGCTTGTGCTGTCCCTACCACCCCCCATACCATCCCTCATCCACTGCTGGACGAAAGCATACACACTCGGGTTCTCCTTCTCCAACTGTCTCGATACTCGCCGCAATATGATGCTCCTTATGGCCGTACTGGTGAGGTCGTGGCTCCAACGATGGGACACTTGCCTGGACACGCTCAACTGTGGGGAGGGTGGGACAAGGTCTTGTCCCCTTTCCTCCTCATAAGCATCATCGTGACGCATAATCTCGCCAGCTTGAATACTACGACGTCGGCTTGCCCTCCGGCCCTTCGGGAAGTAAATATAAACCTCATCATCATCACCATCCTCATCACAGTCCCCTGCGCGCCTCGTAGTGAGGTTAGTTCTAATGTACTCACACATGAACCGAGCCGGATCCCGGGGTGTATGGATGCCTAGCTCGATGAGCATCATAGTGAGGAAGTTCTCGAGGTCATAACGTCTGAAGTAGGCCAACACGTCCTTAGCGCAGACCTTATGACCGTTGAGGCCCTCCTCAGCCGCTGCAGCAGCACATGCCGCCACAACCTCAGCTGTTGAGGGCGAACTCGGGGCACCAGTATGACCCGTTGATGAGTGGTGATGGTGGACCCTTGAGGGCCTACCTTCAGCCTCAGGCCTGGGCATCTGGACCAGAGGCGAGCTACTCGAAGGGGCATCAGCAACAGCCCATGGTGATTCCATCAACCGCTCAGCATCATCTTCTACCACTCGCTCTTCATCTTCATAATTTCCCGTAGTTCGAAGTTGGCACATGTGAGGAGTAGTGAGCTAATGCTTACGTACAGAACTAAAATCAACTTCACAGCAATACGGGCCCTCCTACCCCAACGCAGCTCAGGCTCTACTAGAGACTAGAGGCATGATGAGTGGCGACCCAACATGAGGCAATCATAGCTGGAATAGGGGAAGCCTTGGACTACTATTGTTGCTGCTTGTGCCCTTAACACCGCTGGGCCATTGACACACCCATAGTACTACTCTCTTGTTGGGTCTGTCGCACGTGGGCATCTGATGATTACGGCGATGATGCTAATAATAAACTCCAAACGAACTAACCCCACTAGGATGGAAGCAGACAACCTGTAGGCCCCTTGGGAAGGCGTCAATGAGGTTACCTCCGGGCAAAGGGCGAGGACATCAGCCTTCGAGTAATACAAAACCCGAGCTATGCAAGTGCGGCGAGAATAATGGTAAAATACCCCAACCGTAAAACCTGATCAATCCCAAAATACTCAAACACGACACATATCAGCCGTAAGCAAATTGGGTAATTTCGTGGCGCGCGGTCAAACAGGCAGATCTTCACGGGCGATGGGCTCACCAAACCGCATCGTCTTTCTCAGTCTGTCCCTAACCTTGGTAATTTGACATTTCTTCCTCTCCAGTCGTTCTCGAAGCTACGCAGACTACTCGACTGCTGCATACCGCCTCCTCAACGTCCACAAATGCTCCTCCCTATCAAGGCTACAGCAGTTCCACTCTATCTCCTACGGTCTCCTATACTCGAACCAGATACAGAAAATGTCAACCGCGCACGCCATTCTAATCGATAGTTAATTTTGTTAGACATCGTATATGTCGATATTAATGTGAATTTATAATGTCGTATACTAGTGTGGATCGGCTTTGTCGTGTTGTGCCTGCGTACGTATGGTTCTTGCTGTACCGCATGGTCAACGCGCTGTTGATAAGCACTTACGGCAGTGCTGATGAGTATTGGCAGTCCATAGAGGTTTCCCATTACCTCGTCTTTGGCAAGGGTTATCTTACTTGGGAATGGCAGCCTGAGGTGGCCTTAAGATCCTCTTTGATGCCGCTCTTGTACGTGCCTTACTATGGCCTGTTGAAGGTCATGGGACTGGACACTCGCTGGATGATAGCCTATGGCCCTAGGGTATTCGTTCAGGCCCCCTTAGTAGCATTAGCTGACCTTGGATTTACTCGGGTCTCCTCAGTGCTACTAGAACCGGCCCTAGCTCGGACGGCTGTGGCCCTGTGGTTGAGTAACTGGTTCATATTGTCGATGGTCACGAGGACCTTTGCCAACAGCGTTGAGACAGCCCTCTACTGTATTATAGTGTACGCCCTTCTTCGGTGGACCATGCGGCCTAGGAGGTGTTATTACCTCCTCGTCTCCACGGTACTATCAGCAGCATCAGTGCTTATACGCCCTACTAGTGCTACCTCCTTAGCACCTCTCTTAGCATACAACTGCTTGTATGTACTGTCCCACACTAGGCAGTGGTGGCTGCTGCCTGTGTGTGTAGTCGTTGGCCTTGGGACTATGGTCGTCATTGGTTACCTCGACAGTATATTGCTCTATGGTGGCAGCATACGAGGAGCATTCACATGGTTAAACTTTGCCGAATTCAATTTCATCAACGACTTTGGGAAGCTGTATGGTGACGACCACTCTTGGCTGTGGTAAGGTCAACTCCCCGTCAACTTCCTACTGAGCATTTCTCCTCAGGTACTTCATCTTTGGCATCCCATTGCTGCTACTGAACCATATAGTGCCTCTCTTACAGTCGCTATGGAAGGGTACTTACCACCTCCCTAGTGGGAATAAGCACTTCACTCTGTCCTTGCTCATCTCCTGCTTGGTCTCACTCCTCGTACTCTCCTTGGCTACTCATAAGGAGCTACGGTTTATCATGCCGATGGTACCAGTACTGTGTCTAGTGGTAGCCCCGGCGGTTGGGCCCATCAGGGGTGGTATGCGAGGTGTAGTGTGGAAAGTATGGCCGCATTTGTTAGTGGCACTTGTCGCGATGAGATGGCATCAGTATGGTCCTGATAGGGTCATGGCGTCGCTCTCTAGAGAGGCCACCCCAGGGGATAGTGTAAGGTTCTTAACGCCTTGCCACGCGACGCCGTTCACAACGCATGTACATGGTACTGGAATAGTGGCGATGGATATACTCGACTGTTCGCCGCCATTAAAAGAGCTGGCTGCCGGGATTGAACCTGGGTTGAATGAGCGTGATGCCTTCTTCGCGGATCCTCAGGCTTATGTAGAGAGCAAGACTAAGGGCTATGACTGGTTGGTGGTGTGGGGTGGCGCTGTTCGTCGGGAGGACAATGGGCTGGCCAAATGGTTGAGGGAGGATGGAGACTATGATTTGGTAGAGAGCATAGGTGATGGGCTACTCAATGATGGGCCTTATGGCTTCGAGATGTGGCCGACGTTTGACTTGTATCATCACCATCATCAGTAGTAGTGGAGGTATCCTTGTTGTGTACTTGTCTGGTGGAGAGCAATGTGATGTGAGTATAGTATTTGACGCCTTAGTATGCTACTCCCACTGAGCCTGCTGCCTAGGTTGGTAATGGGTACTGTGCTGAGCTATGGTGTGAGTTGCCCTACTATGGTGATGTGGCCACTCCTCTGTGTGTCAGGTCATGGTGCTGGAAGTCTTGGTTGAGAAGCCCATCAGGTCGCTAAGCTGATGCTTACCGTGGCCTTAGTCGGGTAGAGAGTGTTTGGTACTGGGTCTGGCTGAGCACAACGCTATGGACGAGCCGCCCCTGGTTGACATCGTTGCTACAATGGACAGTTTTGTCTCCCCTGCTTGTGGTCATCCTCGCCTCCTAGGTGCCCTTACGTGAGGAAGAGCAGGGGTTGTTACTGGGGTCTAAGCAGGCACGGAAAGACGATGGAGCTCGTCATCCCGATTCCTGATTGTTTCGAATACCAGCGTGTAAGATGCACTCTGATGGTGTTTCTAGTGAACAGTTGGTCGGGTCTTATTGTTGGGGGGTGGGAGACTTTGCATAGTCGTAAGTGCCAGTTGCTCTCATGGTGATCTCGACAGAACCGGCGAACAAGAGGGTTAAGGTCATGTCCGGGCAAGTAGATGACCAGCTGGCTATTGACACTATAAGGTGGGCTGATGATTTGCTCAGGGTGTGGTATGGTGTTGGTTTCAGAACAATAGCAGCCGATATGGTCCAAAGGGCCAAGTCGGGCCATCCAGGTGCCCCAATGGGATGTGCGCCGATGGGCCACGCCCTTTATACTCACGTTATGAGGTATAACGCTGCTAACCCTCACTGGTGGAACAGAGATCGATTTGTTTTGTCCAACGGTCATGCCTGTGCCCTGCAGTATGTGCTTATGCATCTCGCTGGTTACAAGGATGTTGGTCTTGAAGACCTTAAGAATTTCCGTCAGTTGGGCTCGAGGACGGCTGGGCACCCCGAGCGTGACCTGTTGGAAGGTGTGGAGGTTAGTACTGGCCCTCTTGGGCAGGGCATCTCTAATGCTGTTGGCCTTGCTATTGCTGGGGCCCATCTTGCGGCTACCTACAACCGAGATGGATATGATCTCTTCAACAACTACACTTTTGTTATTTGTGGTGACGGTTGCCTTGAGGAAGGGGTCAGCTCGGAGGCTTGTGCCCTTGCGGGCCATCTTGGGCTTGGGCATCTCATCGTGCTTTATGACGATAATAAGATTACTATTGACGGTAGCACTGACCTTGCATTCACTGAGGATGTTAGTAAAAGGTTTGAGGGCATGAACTGGCAGGTCTTGGAGGTGGCCAAAGGGGATAGCGATGCGGCTGATATAATAGCAAAGGTTGAAGAAGCTAAGAAGTGTACTGATAAACCTACTATCATCAAGGTCCATACGACTATAGGGTACGGCTCGGCCAAGCAGGGCACTGCTAAGGTCCATGGGGCCCCTCTGGGTGAAGAGGACCTGGCCAGTGTTAAGAAGAAGTTTGGTTTAGATCCTGAGAAGTTCTTTGAGATCCCCAATGAGGTGAGGAGTTTTTATAAGGATGCTCTTGCTCGTGGTCAACAGGCTAATAAGGAGTGGGATGCTCTCTTTGCCGAGTATGGTAAGGCCTTTCCTAGGGAGCATGCCGAGCTGATCAGGCGTGCTAAGGGTGCCCTCCCACATGAACTGGACAGCTTCTTCCCGAAGTACCAGCCTGGTGATAAGGCCAAGGCTACTCGTGTGACCAGTGGGGAGGTCCTTGCTGCCCTCATGGAGCACCTGCCTGAAGTCGTTGGAGGTTCGGCAGACCTTACCGCTTCTAATATGACTAATATGGG